TCAAGTCGACGAAGCACATGTAGAGCGGTATCTTCTTTCTCCGCCCCAGCTCCTGGAGGCGGCGCACGACGAACAGCATGTCGACGGTGGATCGCCCGGGTCGAAATCCGCACTGTTCCTCCGGGAGGATGTTGTTGGCTTCGCAGAAGGCGCTTAGACGGTTGGTGATGATCTTGATGGGGACCTTGCCTACGTGAGATAGTAGCGAAATCCCCCTGTAGTTGTTACAGTTGGACCGGTCACCCTTCTTGTACAGCACCTTGATGGTTGCATCCTTCCACTCTCGCGGAATATCTCCTCCGTTCCACACCTTGACGAGGATGGTATGGAGGTGTCCCAGGACGAAGGGTTCGTCGTCATCGATCTTGAGCAACTCGGCAGGGAGGGAGTCATGGCCGGGTGCCTTCCAGTTCTTGAGGCCTTTCGTTGCCCGTGCCACCTCCTCGAGTTCTGGCACATCTCCCAACTGTTGAGTGTCACGTGTCGCTGGCCGCTGCGTCACTCGTGCGATGATGTCTGGGTTCCGGGTGGGGGATTCGGTGTTGAGTAGGGTGCTGAAGAATCTCGCCCGCCACTGGAGGATGTCGTCCCTGTTCCGGAGCAACACGCCGTTCTCATCCGCGACGAACTGCTGTCCCCCCGCTTGTCTCCCGCTGAGGCCCACTGATCTCTTGAGGTGTTGGTACAGTCCTCGCATGTCGCGATCTTTGTAGATTTTTTCGAGCTCAGTCACATATCCGTCCAGGTGGGCATAAATGCCCGTTTCGACTGCTGTAGCCACTCCCTTACACGCTGCTTTGAGAACCCTCCACGTCGCTGAGTTCCAGTTGCCCCTCATCGCCCGGCGCGCTTCCCGACGTTTGGTAAGGGCCTGCTCCAGCGCTGCTCGCGTCTCTGGGGTCTCACACCACTCCTGCGTGCGGCGTCTCCGCGGTTCCTCCCCCAGGGTCGTCCGCGCTGCGTTGAAGAGAGCATTGGTAAAGTCGGTCGCCAATTCCGCGACGGTGGTTGTTCGCTCGTCCAGTCGTGTGTCGAGGGTTGAGGAGGAACCGATAAGTCACCGCACACGGTGCTGCTTCGAACTGCAATTCCCGTCGGTTGAATTGCTTCTGTTTCGGTTTAGTCCGGACTGCACGGTTGTGGGCAAGCCTGCCACCGAGGTTGACGGTGGCTACTACCATATTGTGGTCTGAGTCTGCTTTGACTGGGTGAACCGGCTGGGGGATGACGACCACGTTAGATACTCGGCCGTGATGTGCCTGCCTTGTCAGGATGTAGTCAAGGCGCTTGCAATCGTTTCCCGACACACCGTTGTATGTGTGCCATATTCCGCCCTTGCGTGTCTCAAAGAACGTGTTCGTGAGAGCTAGCCTGTTTTCCGTTGCGAAGTTCAAAAGTAGCATGCCATTGTCGGTGAGCTCATCGCGCCCGTACATTCCTCTTACCCTTCCGTCCCCTCCGTCCAACCTCTCTCCCGTCCGCGCGTTGGCGTCCAGTAGGACATACACACATTGTTTGGAAGGGATCCTCCGCACGAGACTGTCAAGTTTTCCCCAGAACACGCGCTTGCTGTCGGCGGTTGAAGGTTCGGTTGGAGCATACGCGGCTACGAAGTTGACCGCTCCACGGTGGCCTGCAAACAAAAACCTCATGGCCATAAGGCGTTCGTCAGTAAACTCTGTAGTGAACGTGGATGTCGTGCACAGTGACTCTTTGACGGCTATCCCCGCACCATGGACTCCACTCAGTCTCCGTGCCACAGCAGAACACCCGGAAACCCGCTGCTGCAAATTCCGTTCGACCTGCCCTCCGTGTCTCCTGCATTCCTACCACCGATACGTCTTGTCTCGCTGCCTCGTGTAGAACGCTGTAGGCTCGCCCGTATCAATTGGCCCCGTTTACAGCCAAAGTCCGCACATTCCAGGTTGCTACCCTAAGAAGTTGACCCTGCTGTCCCTTTCGCGCGGCGCGCACTGCTCTCTTGGCTAGCCTACGCGCCGCCCGACCCCTCCTTCTCCTCCATCTTCCTCTATTTTTTTTTTTTTTACTATTTTCTTGCTAACACTCGGGCTAACGTGATAGTTATCCCGGTTCTTGTCTTGTTTCTCATAGAGTTGTCTTCTTGTCCCGGAGCGGTGTGGCCCTCCATCTCTGGACTCTCTCCTTGCCTCTCTCTGGGGCATGCTCCCACGGCGTGCGGCCACTCCGCCACCCTCACCGTGCTCTCTGCTGCTGCATGGCCCCAGTGTCCCAAGCCGGGGCGTCAGGATCCAGTCTCATTTTGCAGCTACCAAAGCTGGCGGCTCAGGAGCTACCCCGATCTCACGACAGCAGTAACTCCCAACCGCCAAACTCAGGATCCCCCTCTAAACAGTGCTAGGGACCGTGAAGCCGTCGTTGCTGGGTGGTCTTTCGAGGTCTAGATCCACTTGCGGAACCTCGGCCTACCCCAGGGACGGGGGGGGCAGGTCGGGGAGGAGCGTGGGAGACGCCGAAACAGGCCAAACCGCCACGAGACAGCAAAAGAAGCCGCTTTTTTTTGTTAGAGAGGGGAGGACACCGCAACTGATTTCTCGCTCCCTAGGCCAACGATCAAAGCCAGACCGGTCAGGGCGTGCTCTCTGTTCCTTGCTCTCTGCCGGAGTAGATTTGCTCAGCAGCTCATTGATCCAGTCATTCGAAATCGTCGTTTGCGTGTACACAAGCTGTCTGTTGAAAATTGTTTCCAGGCCTTCAACACATTACTGCATTCTCAAGTGAAGCAGACGAGCCAAGAATCACAGTTCGAAAAAGTAACGGGCACCACGCGCATGCTTCTCTCCGTCGATCGAGAGTACGCGCTGCCGAGCAAATTCACTCCGGCAGAGGGCGAGGAACAGAGAGCAAGCCCTGACCGGTCTGGCTTCGATCGGTGGCCCAGGGAGCGAGAAATGAGTTGCGGTGTCCTCCCTTTCTAACAAAAAGCGTCTCTCTTTGCTGTCTCGTGGCGGTTTGGCCTGTTTCGGCGTCCCCCATGCTTGGTACCTGTCGCCCCGGTGGTCTAGTGGTATCCTCGTAATCCGCGAACTCTCTTAAACCAGCGGCCCCCCTTCCCGCCACAGCAAGTTATTGCCCTGCTCGCAGCTAAGTCCGCGAGTGTTCCCATATGATAATAGGGGGAAACAAAGCGGGTGGAAGCTGCGAGCGTCAAGCACTGGACCCGTGATGTGAGTTTGAAGTAACTAGGGTAAGGTGGC